AATTACTCTTTTTATATAAAGATTTCGTATAGCGACGATAACAAAGGTTCTTCCGGTTATTAAAAGGCAATTGTCCTGGAAACATTGTGTATAAGTCGGTCAATGGAACTAAAATGGAATATTATCATATCTATTTATTTCAGTAATATGTAACTCAGGCTTCCAATTTGTACAATGGTCCAGTAAACTGGTAGTTTATCTCATGCGATTAAGTCCGTTTTAACGTATTGTTAAAGGATGGGAGAAATGAACACACCAACTCATGGGCTGATTAATGTCAATAAACAGATTGTTATTACAAATACGTTAATATTTCACTGTCATTACAGTAAATTATGGCACATAACTCAGACAATGATCTTTATGAGGTTTCGTGAGTGCCATTGAATGGTTTATCAGAAAGGCTAATAGACATGTTTATAATGCTAACTGAATTCCAAGGACATAATTAAGATGTTACTAGTTGATTACATGCCCAAAACCCCGAACCAGACGTTAAGGTGAGATTTATAAACACACCAAACTGTAAGACAATTCGGGGCAGTGGCGTAGCATAATGATTAAAACGTCCAATCGTTACGATGAAGTCCCAGGTTCGATTCTCCATTTAAGTGTGTCTGCTGTGATATTCCTGGAATATTGCTAAAACCTGCGTAAGACCAAACTCACTCACTGTAAGACAATTCCAACATTCATTTGAGCATTTAGGATCCCTTTAATGTTACAATATTGTCTTCATGATGACGTTTACTTTCTTCTGAAGAGCCGAGTCGGTGGAGCGTGGAGGAGAATCGAATACTCTGGAGTACAGGGTGCCGGCATACAAAGCAACCTTCGCGCTACCACAGTAGTAAGTCTATACTTCAGTGTGGGACGAAGGACCACCTGGTCTTCCTATTGAGCTACAAACGGCTGAGATGATCTATTGCAATGGTGGCCTTTATGAAATCCTGGAATTGCTCACAGGTCCGACGATTGTGTGTCTGTCAAAGTCTGTATGTGTCAAGTATGTATTCGCGATGAGTACAATCGACAATCGTGCTTCTAGCAATAAACATTTTTCAGTTTGATGAAATCCATTAGCAGGGTAACGATGCATGTTCAGTCACATTTTGTGTTCAGGAATATGCAAAGGCTTTCGATATCGAGGTGCATACAAACGGAATAAGTGTGTAAAGCGACAGTTGACTGACTGTTTGTTGTACTGCAGGAGGCATCTGTAAATCTAGGATCCATAAAGACTGAGTACTTTTATATTTGTACAATAAAAAGTAGAGTGTTGTTTTATACAAAACGGATAACGCTTAGCAGTGTTTCTTTTAAAACGCCTTAGTATTTGTGTTTGATGTTACACCACAAGATAGGAAAATATAATATTTTATGTCTCGTCAGGATGAAAACTCCAGCGGGTTAAGCGAATTAGGATCAGGTTTGTTCGTTTGGAACATCCACTTGTAGACGATGATAGTAAGCATGTGATTGTACTCATGTAATAAGGGAGTGAGTGAGTGAGTGAGTTTAGTTTTACGCCGCACTCAGCAATATTCCAGAGGTCTGTAAATAATTGAGTCTGGACCAGACAATCCAGTGATCAACAGCTTGAGCATCGCTCTGCGCAGTTGGGAACCGATGACATATGTCAACCAAGTCAGCGAGCCTGACCATGTAATAGTGAGTGAGTGAGTGAGTTTGGTTTTACGCCGCTTTTAGCAATATTCCAGCAACATCACGGCGGGGGACACCGGAAATGAGCTTCACACAATGTACCCATTTGGGATATCGAACCCGGGTCTTCGGCGTGACGAGCGAACGCTTTAACCACTAGGCTACCCCACCGCCCCGACCATCTAATAAGGGAAACATATTGTATGTGACTGTAATACGTGTATAGGCAGCGGTGCCCGTCCTAACAGTTAACTGTAAGGCGATGAAGGTGTAGCACCAGTTGTCTCTGCAACTCACATCCTCCCACGTTTTTGGATAATCTATACGTACAGACAACGTGTTCTGTCTGTCTGGCTTTACCTTTTCAGGTTACATCATCTAGTGAGAGGCATAAGTTACAAATATACCTTTACAGATACTTCTAAAATCATCTGGTGACACAAAGTAGTTATGTCATCGCACGAAATGTCACTGTTTATTGTTGTGTTGGTCCCTCATTATGTTACTGTTATAATATTTTGTTGAGAACGAAGGTCATCGTGCTCGCACATCAATCACTTGATTGTCTGATCTATACTTGATTATGTACAGGTCGTCGACATATTGCTGAGAGCAGCGTTAAACTACAAAGAGCAATTCGAGTATCGGAATAGTTCTACCAGTGATTTAAAGGGAAGTGGATCCTGGTTTACTCAACATAAAAGCGTTCGCTCGTCACGCCGAAGACCAAAGTTCGATTCCCCACATGGGTATAATGTGTGAAGCCCATTTCTGGTGTCCCCCGCCGTGATGTTGCTGGAATATTTCTAAAGGCGGCGTAAAACCAAACTCACTCACTCACTTAAAAAACGACGTGTAGATAATCGAATGTGGTCCCCGCTAAACAGTCAACTATGCTATAAGCAACGGCAAGCATGGGATTATGGGAGCCTACGTGCTCGCGTTATGGTGTGAGTAGCATATTCTGTATATTCCATGTTACTTACAACATGCCACGTTGAGTTCAGCCAATTCTAAACATACCACTATCAAAAGCTTCTCATTCTGGACAGATTCCAGGACAAGGCTGATCTGCAGTTGGCGAGCCATGTTGAAAATGGGACTAAATTGGGTGAGGAAATAATTAAACACGGACAGAATTAGATGGAAGGTCTCTCCCTCGCTGTTTTTGTATGCATTGCTTCACTGTCTGTCGACGTATGTCATACGCTAACAGATCGGTTTCCAAAACTATGAGCGAATTCTAACTCTGCTGTCAGTATTTCACTTCAACGCAAAGACCCAAATGAAGACATGAGGAACGTCCACCCCCTTCAGCATGGTCTCCGGCGGATAAGGATTAGAACGTCTGCAAATCTAAGATTCGAAGCACGACCAGTTGACTATGGACAAAGCTGCTGCCGTTATCTTATAGCACAGACCCATGAGTGCCCCTTAGGCCAAATACGCATAATACATGTTGCTCTGACATAATGGCCGGGAGCGGTGTTAACAGTTTAATTTAATCCAACATTCTCATGTTATTGAACACGTGTGGTGCCATAAATAGTTATTTGACCAGTAGATGAAGGGGTTTAAGATGTCTGGCCGCAGGTAATGATAGTGGTGTTCAATTTCACAAGCATCTGTAGTACGTTAGTGCACATTAGATAGTTTTGGTTGTCTATCTTCGTAAATATATTCTCTCGTGTATTTGAACTAACAAGATCTGTAATTTTACAGCTTCGGGCGTTTCCCAGTTCCGTACATTTTCCAGATCCGTACACCTTTTAGTTCCATACATTTCCCAGCTCCGTGCGTTTCCCCGCTCCGTACATTTCCCAGCTCCGTACACCTTTTAGTTGCATACGTTTCTCAGCTCCGTGCGTTTCCTAGTTCTGTGCATTTCCCAGCTCCGTACACCTTATAATTCCATACATTTCCCAGCTCCGTACTTTTACAGCTCCGTGCGTTTCCCAGCTCCGTACATTTCCCAGCTCCGTAAACCTTTTACTTCCATACAATTCCCAGCTCCGTACTTTTACAGCTCCGTGCGTTTCCCAGTTCCGTGCATTTCCCAGCTCCGTACACCTTTTAACTCCATACATTGCCAAGCTCCGTACTTTTACAGCTCCGTGCGTTTCCTAGTTATGTGCATTTCCCAGCTCCGTACACCTTATAATTGCATACATTTATCAGCTCCGTACTTTTATAGCTCTGTGCGTTTCCCAGTGCGGTGTATTTCCCAGCTCCGTACACCTTTTAATTCCTTACATTTCTCAGCTCCGTACTTTTACAGCTCCGTGCGTTTCCCAGTTCCATACATTTCCCAGCTCCGTACACCTTTTAATCCCATACATTTCCCAGCTCCGTACTTTTACAGCTCCGTGCGTTTCCCAGTTCCGTGCATTTCCCAGCAACCTACACCTAACTCCTTACATTGCCCAGCTCCGTTCCCATCTGTTATCATTGGTTCGAATCCCGTTGCCCCCCGACTACGTCTATCGGGTCTATACCCGTACTCGCATGTCATCAAATTGATATCCTTGTAAGACAAGCATCACTTTGGACGTTCCTCCCGAACTAAGCTCGGAAGTGGTTACTGGAATATTTACAAAGCGGCATTACATAACACTCACATCTATCCCTGTAAACCTGCCATCTCCAACACTAAATGTCGTTTTGATCTCAGCCGGAGCCTACATGAAAATATAATAACCTAAACCTGATTAATTATGCTGTTATTATTACACATCCCAGTATGTACTAGTAATCACCTAACGAGAAGGCAAGGCTGGCAGTTATCTGACTACTTAATTGAACAGCCACCCATTGTGCATTAAATACAATATCGGTTTCTACTCAGCTAGTTGGAAGCTTGCGGTTGAGAAATATCAGCCAGTTCAAGATGCGTAAACCGCCCTCGTGTCCTGTAGACAAAGAATTCCCCAAACTATACATAATGAATTCTCCCCAAACAGTGTTGTCTTTCATTGTAAATGAATCTACTCACACATAGTGAACTCGCCGGTAGTTTGTGTATCGTGACAACGTGTTCCAGCTGATACTGATGTTATGCCATAACACATCATCCAACATGTTATGTTAATCCTTATCAGAACACACCACACGTATAGTTATTATTAAATGTAAGACTACTACAAGGATTAATTGATTCTGTACTTGTTTAATATGATAACAGTGGTCTGACAGGTTCTTGTATGTGTGTATGTTAAATCATCTTACATTTTGTATTCATTGTCTGAGTGACACAGGCCAGGGTAATCTTGTGGGAGATGATCCCGTCTAATCCCGGTCCGAGGCCCACGAGTTAGTGAAGTGCTCGTACAGTTGTTGTCCTGTTGCAGTACTTCCCGCAATCACGGCGTGTCTACCACCACTCGCTACCAGCTCAGATCGTCTCGCCGGCCGGCAACACGTCAGCGCACACACAGTCGCTTCATTTGCGGGCTGCAGCGTTCGCGAGTCCCAACATAGCTGAGAGCCCAGCACACAATCCAGGCGACAGGATATTCCAGTGTTCAGAGACGGCCGAGGATCCGACAAAAGTTCCTGATTTCAAGGATTAAGTATCTTTGTCTACGCTTCAGGAGCTAATGGGATAATTAAGCCGGAAATATAAACCCACTCGTCTGTGCATTTCGGAGTTGTTGAAACAATATTTCTTCACTGTTGTGTGGGATAGCAGCAGCATGTGGGTTGTTGACGACGACATTTAATGAGCAGTTGTGTACCACCACGTGCAGGAAGAGGTTGTAGTGTCCTGTGTCCTACTGCTCAAACAGGGAATTCGAGCAGTATGTTTGCAATGAAAATTGGTTTCCATAGAGAAACTTTTCATTGGTATCACAGTTAGTTCAGAACATTCATAAAGTGTTAAAGTTTATGAATTTAAATCTTTTGCTAGAGTTGTGAAACTTTAATTCGTCAGTCCTTCAATGTAACGTCGTTGCCCATAAGCCAACGTAAAAGTATTTGTATCAGGTTCATTATTAATCGTTAACTTCTGACCAGTCATGTACCGCGGCGTCAAAAGCGCATTATAATTCACATAACGTTTGGAGATACAAGGCGGTGGCTGCTAACAAAGCAATTGGCACTGTGGAAGGAACATGGTGCAGAATCCTTCTCGCTGACATCCTTGCTTGGGTTACGTCCAACAGGTGCGGCATTCTATCAGTGTAAAGTTGCGATCGTGCAGGGAATTTACTAACCAGCGTCAATATTATTTCTAACTACAGAAACAGCGGAACTGAATGACTTAACATGTTAACCTGAGCGCAAGGCTTACTTGGGCTTGACAAATACGTTAACTGCTCACGAGGCGCTAAGCTTTAAAAGTTGGACTTCCAGCCGAGAATGTATCGTCACAATCACCTGGAGCTACAGGGGCGTGTCTTGGTGCAGTATAGGCAAAGTACCATACACGCGTGGGGTTGCTGAAGTTGAAATATCTCTGCATCTCAATGTTCTGTTCTCTTCCTCTTGGTCTTCAACTCCTGTGGACCTATTTGGATGTCTGGTAGTGTTCATGTCCTCGGTGGTTTTCTCACCTGAAGACGTATTTTGGTCTGTCGAACAGCCTTCGGATATGTGGATGTAAAATCTGTTTATTAAAGGGGTTTTAATTGAAAGTTTACAACATGGAGGATCCACCACGTGTTTTGAACCGCAGTGACTGTAAGTACTACGACCCACAGGAAGGCCCTATCCAACAGTGTTACACGTCAGACGAACACCTACTGGCCAGTATATATGAGTATATTACTCCCCAACCCCATGAATGGGTTTTCACTGTCCTCTACGCCCTGGTATTTGTGTTCGGTATCACCGGGAACTTCCTGGTTTGCTACGCTGTATGGCGTAATCATCAACTACGGACCACCACAAACTTTTTCCTTGTGAATCTGGCTGTAGCCGATTTTCTAGTGATGATGTTTTGCTTGCCACCATCCTATGCACAGACCCTGTTTGAAACTTGGTTCCTGGGACTTGCCATGTGCAAGATAATAGAATACTACCAGGTACGTCATTTTCTCATTATTGTACATGTATGTATGTGTATGAAACATATTCCACTGCATCACCTGTCTATGATAACATTGTCCCAACAATGTATCAATTAATAACAGCCTCCATATGTGCTTAACAGTAGCATTGCTACGTGAATTGAAATTAACGTGTTTTTATTACATGTACGGTTATAATAAATGATCTGCCATTTCAGATCTAATGAATTAGTCATACTTGACATTATATATATATATGAAACCATGTCCGATAATGACAACCATGCTATGACAATGACGCAAGTTCAACATGTGTTCGTTTTAATTGCTGCCAACTGCATTTCATACGGTTGTCATTAGCATTTCTCTCACATAATCTAGAGTATCACAGTCATGTGTCCTATTGTGTAATCCATCATGTATTGAACTCTGTAACTGCACATAATATAGAAACTAATCAGTTACTTACATTCATTGTCCGGTGTTTCAGCTACAGGCATTAGCTATTCAACCGTACATTCCATAGAAACATAATGGGTTTTTTTACTTTTGGCGTGAGACACTTACAGTTGCAGTGTCGCTTGATGGTATGTAATGATTGAGACGTGGTACACACATATGTATCTGATATCGACTGTCTTCATATGATGGAAACATTCTACGTCACAAACAAACATTTGTCACATTTGGGAAAAAACATTTGGTGTGTACGTACGGAGTAATACAAAACATGCTTTTCGAATCTTTTCCATTGAAATACCATACTGCAGTTAAACATGAATAGCCCCCTCAGAAAAAGACTCCTAACAGAAAATGTTCGTCAATGCGGGAATGACAGGAATGGGTTAGGGATGGGTTAGGCAACAAACAAACACCTACTCTTTATGAAAATTGTGAAAGTCGTAGGGGGCTTTTCTCGCAAACACCTAATACCATCACTCATTTATAGCGATCCACTCATATAACTTTCATCACTGTTTTCGATATGATGGTTTTAATGGAATCTGTAAATTGCAATCTACTCTGAGTCTGAGACTAAAACTGGATGCAGTTTTAACCCTGAACGTTTTAAACACGTGTGTTTGTCAGAGGTTGTAACAACCATTATATTACCGACTGTTATGAAAAACTACATCCATTTAAGCACCACAGGAAAAGAGAATAGAAACGGAAACAGAAAACTATAAATATACTTTTGAAGTGAGTGGATGGAGTTTGTATTTAAGTTCCCGTCAGAGTCTGGAGTCATCACGCAAAAGTCTCATAAGTCCTTGCTCACATTAACCAGCACCGCGTGCATACACTATACTCATAGCAACTGCCGATTCTTATGAATAACCAATGGCTATGTTTTAGCCACCCACTGCTATGTTCGTCTAACGTTCAACATATATACGGAATTGGGTATCAATATGTAAATACCTCATAGTCACAGAAATAACGTACTGGGAACTTAATGTGAATCCATTTCGACATAACAGAGAAGTGATAAATGAAAAGGCAGTATATTAAGGATTGAAGTGCAGATAATCCATCAGCATTCGCTTTATATGATACAATTTAAAACCCAGTAGCAGATGTCAGTGTTGAGATTGCACATGTTTGAGAGTTTAGTTGATACGTTCTAAATCTGGCATCTATTATAATTAATTTTCAGTGGTAGTAATGGTAGATAATTATCCATCTCCCTTAATGATAGTATTCCGACCAGGTCATTGTCAAACGGATACAAGTAACAATCGACGGCGGTATGCATTTCAGACAACCTCTCACGGATACGTTGTGAGTTTGGCTCAACGCCGGTTTGCACAGTACTCCGGTAATATCACAGCGTGTCGTCTATATGTGTGAGGAAAGCACACTATATTCAGCTTCAGCGTTGAAAGTGTTACACTTTCGGCATGCCGCACGTTCAAAGTGAACATCCACTTACTTATCAAAGTTTGCAGCGTTCTGCTTCCATGGGCGACCGATTTAGCATCTGCAGGCTCCAGCTATTAATCTGAGCACTGCGATGCTACATTTATATAAGTCTTCACTGCTGTGGTGGGACCATATTTAGGCTGATTATTCTGAACCCTCATATAATTATCTTTTTTCTGTTGGAAGAATTCCGTTTTACGACGAACCTGATCGCGTTCTTGGCACGATGACATCGTCTCACTGTAGTTCGAAGCTGTGGGGTTCGCATTGCAGCACGTGCGCTGTAGCGTTGGGGACAGCTGGTGGGGAGGGGTAGTGATGACTGAAGATGTGGAGACTCAGTCTTTGAATCGAATCATTATAACTCTACGGTAGATTGGTTTCTTGAGTTTACAAGCATACACGGTTTATGATGTAAGGATAACAAATATAGCATGTGTGTTGCCATCCCAGCTGGGGTTCCCAGAACAGGCTTTACCACGTGTTTATGGTAGGTTACTTTCGTAACCGGTTTTACGATTGTGTTTGTGCTTGGCTTGTCATCGTTTGTGTGAAGGCCTGACACAATCACTCACTCTATGTGATACTTGGGGATTCCGGTAATATGAGTTGATTCCTTGATAAAAGTTATGATCCTGCCCCTTTCCCCATGTACACTGTACAGTTTTATGTACAGTACTAATTTACCTATCCGTAATAGAATTGTTGAACTGCTGAACGACATAGTTCATCGTAATTTATCAACAAATGTAGGCGTCGGAATGTTAAGACACAAGGGCCTTTGTCAAAATTGTCTCTTTAAGCTGACGTGCGTAACATACCACACATAGTTACTACTGGTCTGGAGGCGTCAAACCCAACTCACTCACTAACTGACTTAAAGAACAGCTAACATCCACATGTATGTGATCTCTCATCTTGAAACAAGCTTTGATGTATATGTCATTGCGGACCACCGATTTCAGCAAATCCCACACGGAGTTTGAATATTAAAGGACAGTGTGCTAACCACTTGGAATAACCACCCTCTGATCCTGGTGTGAGTTATCTATCCGGGGGACTAGTTTCCCAGGTCTGGTCGTAGCAATTAGAGTGTCGCTTCCATTCCCTGTCACAAATGTCACCTCCCCGTGAACATTTCGATTAATCAATATCCATAGCCTGCAGATCAATACCCATTTCTTCTCTCCATGTGTGGAGAAGCATAAGTCAAATTTATCTATCGCTTTCCAAAGACTTGCAGGATTTAACGTTAACGTATATATCTATGTATTGATATTCGTATCACACAAATTGATTTTCGTTCACATCCTTCAGGCTATTCGTGTTAATCAAGATGTGATTGTAGCATACAGTCATGGGTTAGCGCAGTGACTGTTTATTGGGTCGTACGACGCTAGGGTAACTACAGGTGTAAATGGCTTGCGTAGTTTCAGAATCCATGTATCATTTAAAAACGATGAGTTTTGAGCTTAAAATAATTGTATTTGACGAAACCCTTTTTGTGATCATAAATATCCCTGCTAAAAGCAGTGTGCTTTGCATGATTCCAGTTTTATCACAAGCGTGTGATTCGACGTGTTGGCAGCGTTCTTCTGGTGAGCCAGATGCCGGGTCTTGTTAAATGGTATTTCGGATGGTGTGGAGCAGAACACTGGATGCCTTGGAAATCAAGTTTAGTTCATTTTTACGAGCTGTGGACATTATGATTCAAAATTCTTGAGTTGGATGCCGAGAGAAATTAAATGGTATTGAGGATGCCAAGAGGAAAGGGGGTTGGCACCCTCGTGGATTAATCATTATCAAATAGGACCGCTGCCTTCATAGTGATTACGATAAACGTTACAATATGGTATTTAATGTTACCGTGCCTGGCTTTCAGCATTAAGGATATAACATGGTGTGTCGACTCAAGAGTTCGTAATCAGTGAGTCGGGGGCATTCGTGTGAAAACAGCGGCTTTTCACCTCAGTGGGCGTATACTATAAAAAGGACTTGTTTAAGCACACCAACTCACACTCACATACAGAGGAAACAGAACGTTGAACAAAGTTGTATTTATTGTATATATTTGGCCAGTGTCTCCTGTCCTGCCAATTGCAAACATTTGGTACACGACCCATCATTGTCGACGTAGTCGGTGGGTACGTCCGTCGCAGACGCCGCGGCAAGTCGTGCATGTCTGTAGGTTCCTGCAGGTAATCATGGCTGGGTGGCTGGGATCCCGTTGTGTTTGCTTTAATCTGTATGCGGAACTATTACATAATTTAGTGCAAACCCACGTACACGTCGAGCTACGTCCTCTGTTGTTACAATATTTTAACCCGCATTGGGGATTGAGTCCGGTCCGGTCTGCTTATAATTCAAGGAGACTTAGCTGCCTGTTTGCCGAATAGATTTAGCAGACAAAGGAGATAGTATTGCCCCGCACGTCAGAAATATATTCAATAATTAGTACTTATATTTATTTTTAGAGCACACTATTGATGATGTGTCCACAGAAAAGCGATGGAAGAAATCAATATGATGAGAAAGGAAATATTTTAAAGCCATGAGCGACTGACTTGATGGTGAACATGACTTTTCGTGATGAAATGCACTCCTTTACACGGGTGTGACACACGGCCTTCTTGTAATGATACTGAAATAAATATTTCGGTATGAAAATATATGTATCCTTGCTCTGAATGTACAGTTCGCCATCCCGACACAAATACGTTAATCGGAGGAATATCATAATTGCTCACAATTACATATATTCCATGAGAAAAGAGTACATATAGTAATCAAGTAATATCCTAAACAAACAAGTTCTTATATTCTTCGGAGATATGTTTAGGGAATAGTGTGTTCAGTCGTGACTACAAAAACTATAGACACATATTTATGATCCGTACGATATTTTGATTAATGACGTGGCGACATTTGTAATGTCTTGTATTTGACAAGTTAGTTCTTGGTCGGTGGTGAAAGAATGCATATAGCTGTAATCATTGTCGGTATTGTAACATGCAGCTGGTAGTGAAAGTCAAATCGACGTGACACATTCAACAGCCACGCTTACACACCATGTTCCGTTAATGTTCAGTTAA